CCGGTGCACGTAACTTTGAGTCATCGGAGCCAGGCTCTCGTGCACCGAGTCCGGAGACGGTGCACGAGGAGTCAAAAGAGCACAGCATGACGTTATTCCGGATCGCTGACGAAGTTCCGGTGCTACAAGAAAAAAAAAAAAAATAGCGAGATAAGCTCCGTCGGCTTCGTCGCGGGTCTGCGGTTTGCTCGCTTTTTGGTAATAAAAAGAGGTCAAGGTAAGGCGAATAACGCGTTCGAACTTCTTTTCCAGGTAAGGTTCTTTTCGAAAAAATCCATTCGCGTTCGAACTTCTTTTCTAGGTAAGATTCTTTTCAAAAAATGCATTGAACCGTATTTTTTTTTTTTTTTTTTTTTGAATATGCTAATAAACAACGTAAATGTTCATTTGACGCCGTGTCTTGATCGCCGTTGCACGGAAACTTGGTGAATATCGACGATAGTCCTGTCCGTGCTGAACAGAGAAAGGCAAGGTATGAACTTTATTTTGGTATGGTTGGACGCTCACGCAGAGCATGATCCCGATTGTTGTTTTGTTTGCGTAGCTAAATCGGGGGTGTACGTTGGCTGACGCTCGCTTCGGCCGACAAAACCTTGATCGCCGAGTGCGGCCAAACTTTCCGTGTGTATACGGATACATTTTATAGGAAGTTCGTAACAAACGGGAGAACAAAACGTACGGCCGTATAAAAGTATCGTAACCGGCGGCGTAGATTCGCCGAACTCCATATTTTACGTGTGCTGACGACGTTTTTGGCGGGTTTTATAGCAGTAGCAGCGTGTGCAGCACCAAGAGCTCGATCGCGTTGGATCGCTTCGAACAGCAGCGCTGATGTGTACAGTCACTCGCGTTTTCTTTAACGACCTCGTCAAGACTTCCTCAATACTGGCGTCAAATAAAAGCGATCGTGCTCGGCGTCGTCTGCTTCCATTTTATTTGGAGACCGTCTGTTACAGGGGAGGAAGTGGAAACTGCGTAGGAGCACCTGAAGAGCCGCGGTTGTTTTGGCGTTCAGTAGGCGCTACGAGGAGTCCAACTCCAGTTATTCCGTTCGGAGCTGAGGGAGCCGCTAGTGAACGTGCCCATTGGCTTCCGAATCGTGACGTGGCCTCCCTCTCGCCTTTGTCCTTTACTACTCTCCTCCTCTCTACGCGGCGCGCTTCTCTTTCCATTGTTTTGTCCACAGACGGACGCCGTCAGCTCTTCCCTGTTGTGTGGGTACTACTGCTAACGCAATAATAAAATGAGAATCGGGGGAAGCTAGAACTTCGACAAAATATGACGGTCGCTGTTCGGGTAGAAAGCAAATGTTTGAGAAAACGACGTTACCTAAATAATAACAAAGAGCAATAGAAAAAAAAAGAAGCTTTCTTTATGAGCAGAAGTCCACCTAAGCCTAATATTGACAAAACAAATTTCATTGCAGCAGTGAAAAAAGTTGACAGCAAGGAAGAAAACAGTATTTTGTTTTCTTGTTAACCAGTTTTTTTTTAGCTTAAATAGGTGCTGCAGGACCCCACGCAGTCTTTCTTTTTTTTTTTTTACAATATTAGTCTAAGGTGGACGTCAGCTTACCAAAAAAAAAAAAAAAGAAAAAACAATTTTTTTTTTAACAATCTTTTGATTTAGGCAACGCCACGTTCTCAAAGTTTCGTCCTCTATCTCCCAACCGCTAGCGTCCCATTCTAACAGATTCGGAACTTTCTGCGACGCATAGTTTCAATTTCAATTTTCAATTCAAGCTTTATTTTCCAGATATACACTGGAGGGACCTCCAGACAAAAAGCTGCTATGTGAGCAGCTTGACGGGGTCTGGGGTCCTTTTGATGGGGTCTGGGGTTCATTTACCCGGCCGAAAAACACGGTTCTTTTTTCTCGGAAACTCCCGTTGTCAGCGCCGAGACGTTTCGGTGGCGCCTTCTCGTGGTTTCCGTTCGTGACGTCACGAGCAAAATCATTTTCGCAGTGAACCGGCCATTGGACGGGCATTTGACCAATCGCGAACTTCGACCAGAGCAACGTTTTTGGTCGCTCACGCCGTTGAAAGCCGCGGACAACTTAAGAAACGCTGAGCATCTCAGTTTGGAGTTTTCATAGATCGTTCCTTCTGCCCCGCAACGTTCTCAGCAACCCGCTAGAGATCCGGGACTCTGCAGGCAAGGCAACGTTACTAGAACAACTCAGTTGGGAAACTGCCATACAGCGTGCCCTGCAGAAGTGGCACCGATCCGTACTCGAGAACTGAGCTAATGGCGATCGCAACGCCGCCATTTCTCCCGCACTGGTTACTCGGGAAACTGCACGGCTGGTTATATTATATGTAAGGGGGTATCGCTTTCGACGGCGTCCAGTGTGACTGTGCTATTTTGGCATTCATCGGCCATATTGGTGCCGAAACATATACGGTGGAAGGGGTTTCGGGGATGCAGACCCCGTCGCCCAAGCGGACGCGCCGCGAATTACTGCCGAAGTTAGGACGCGCCTAGGGGTGAGACGCGCCACCCGAAACCACCGGTGAGACATGGTTGTATAGACACTTACAACACGCGCCGGATTGAAACGTCATTGCCGACCTTCTCTTGTCTTACCGAGATGCCGACCCACTGAAGCGGGCATTGACGAGCCTCCACAAAGCCCTATGCTGGGAAAAAGAACGCAGTAGAATCTAAAGTGGCGATAACCTGTCCTACCGTGACAACGATGAAGGGAAGCGAACAGATTAAGAGGAAACAAAAACTGAAGGTCGGTTATGGCGGCGCCCACGCACAGCTGCCGCAAAGCGTCTATAAGAACACTATTAATTGAGCCGGAAACCTCGTAAGCTAATTTTTTTATAAAACATCTCGCGCCTGTTATTTTGCGCTAATCTCCAATAAAAGTTCCTACAAAAAGAGCTTTCTTCGTTTGCTTTTACGCAAAAGCATGCTTTCTTAAAGCTCATGGTGACCACAACAAAGAAAAAAAGATTGAACCGCCATCTTTGCGCCTCGAGCCTCGGTACTCTGGGCACATTCAGTGGCTCTAGCATTAGCCATATGTCGGTAAAGGGTGGCGCTGTCGTCGTATTTGGCTTGGTCTCGGTGGACGCCAGCAGCCCAGTTTTCGAGGGTGAGTTTCCTAACTGAGCGTTTTAGTAACGTTCAGGCAAGGCTAACGCCGCGCATGCGCAGTAGTGGCGTCTTCGTTCCGGAGTGCGTAGCGAAGGTGGAAAACGCCTCTACAAGAACTCTTTATTATACCTCTGCAACCAAAGAGATTCCAGCATCAACGGATAAGAAGAACCCAGAAGATCAAATCAGGAAGCGAGAAGCTTAGTCATAAAAAGCCACGTCCTGTGTACCTAGAGCTTTCAGTCATTCGATACCTTGTACTTGTGTGCAGTCATTGCTAAGCGGTACATGCTTTCGGCTGCGTCGGTTGCGTTGTTCATCTCGTTGAACACCGCAGTTGAATGATGGAAGGGGGGGGGGGGGAGGTGTCGTTTTGCTATTTTTATTTCTTGGCGCAACGCATAAATGTTTTCGGCGAGGAGAGAGAAAAATTAGTAAATAACGTAGCGTGCTGGGCGCAATGTCGGTCTCTCCAGAGAGCGCAAAGCGAGCGATTACACTTCGTTATACCTTGAAGTCCAGACGCAGCCCCCGCTACGAGCTGATAGGACCAATCATTACCCGTCAAAAGCGCACCGTCGCGGTTTTCGTCATGTTTCTGTACGTGTTCTTTCATCACTGAACCCATAAGCTGAAAGAAATAAGAAACCCACAGTGATTTGCGCGTTTGACGTTGTATGATTAGTCGCTTGTAGCGTCGACTGCTGAAACGAAGTAGAATATTATATTTCATTACGAGGCAAAGCACGAACAAATATGCCCCTTTAAAAACAACAACAACAACAACAACGACCGTGTTGATATTAATTACGAGAAAAGAAAGGAAACGATGAGAAATATAACGATAACACGTTCCCGAGGGAACATCGAGTGTGTAACATTCTCTTCAAGTTGTTTCTCTACCGTTTCCGTTTCCTACAGATAGTTCTAGTCTTTGAAAAGACACTAAAACAAACCCCCAACACAAACAAATACTTTGTTGTTATAGTGCTCACGATACGCTCGTCGTCTGTGATATGCTTCTCAAAACGTATAAACTTGGTCGGCACATGCTGCACTTTCTTCGCCTCTAAACTGACGGTTATATAAACCCAGCAGGCAATTAAAATAGACTCGGCAGGACGCTGAAGCCCCCATTCTAGTGGGAATTCAGTTCTTTCGCATAGATATGATGCACGCAAAGGCTCATTACTTTGTTCGATAGAAAGGGGCCCTTACTGGATGATCAGGATAAATAGAAAAGGACTTTAGTAAATAAACGAAAAACCGGGTTTGTGCGCAGAACATAAACATTTAAAAGGGCACTGCCATCAAGCCTTTCTAATCATGGGTGTTTGCATAAAGCAGGATAATAAGATTGTAATCGATGCTGTGCGGCATACATAAATAATTTTATCGCGACCGACAGTTTATGAAAATAAGTTAAGATATCTAGTAGGTCACTCGTGTATACTTGCAAAAAAAGTATATCACGAGAAACTAAAGTTTATACAAAAGTAATATATTAAGGGTCCTAGACGACAGCGAATGCTCATCTTATGATTTGTAGTTTTTTTAATCCCTTTTATTCAAGAGGCGGTTTTTCTTTTTACCAGAGAGATTATATAAGGATAACAGAGCTAAAAACACAGTAAAAGCAATACGTTTCTTCCTGAATAATACATTGCAACTTTTTCAGCTTTCGAAGGCACTCGCACCGAAGAAACACATTTAGCGAAAAAAAAAAAAAAAAGAAATAACCGCAAGAGGTGCTGTTCTGTCCGTCCCTATGTTTATTCTTTCTGTTTTTATTTAACTTCACCAACGCGCTCACGTCGAACTAAACCGCGATTACTTGATTAAAACATTCAATGTAGGTTTGACAAATGCCGTTCCTCTTTTCGTGTTCAGAAATTCGCTGCAAGCCACCGGAAGTACCCAAGAACGCCACCGTTGTCTACGGCGACAACGACCGGTCTTCTGCGGAATCCTTCAAGATCGCTTCCACGGTGCAATACCGCTGCGTCACGGGACACATCGTTCAGGGAGAGTCGTTGCGAACTTGCCAGGTGACCGGCGAGTGGACGGGAGAAGTGCCCGAATGCGTCTGTGAGTACCGTTATGTTTCGCGAACACACTCCAAACAAATCATAGGCCTAACTCTGTTCTTTATTGTCTCAGTCCCCAATTGTCACCACCGTGCACATCCCGTCGTTCACACACCCTCACACTCCGCTCTCTTCCTGGTCCTTTCCTTACTTTCATTCCCGGTTGCCCTAGCCCTACTGTTTCTAGAGTGCTCCCTACACTTCCGTTCTTACCCCATGCCCCCCAGACCCCCACGGTACACAAGACTGACCTTTCATCGTAATTAGTGCAGACACTCGTTGGATCAATAAGTTTTTTTTTTTTTTTTTTTCGCCAGGCGAGAACAAGAAAAGAACTCTTATTTGCACCGGGCCATTGTCATACAGACGCAGGTCGCAGGCCATACGCAATGGCCACTTCAATCCGCGAGGGGCTTTTCGCTTTTATCGGGAAATTGAATGCGTTATTAGCCGTATTGAGTAGCTAATCTGTACGATTTTACTGTAAGGCGGAGCAGACCCGACTCTATATTTCGTTTCAGCTTCGGTCCGAACGCGGTCGATGTTATGAGCCGAAGGGCCAATCAAACACCGCAAAAAGCGCAGCGTCATGGCGTGCTCTCTGCTCTTGATAGGACTAGCCGGCGGAGGAGCGCGCACAGAGACATGGCGAATACCGGCTGGTCCTATCAACTGCAGAGAGCACGTCATGACGTTTCGCTTTTTGCGCTGTTTGATTGGCCCTTCTGCTCATAACATCGGCCGCGCTCGGACCGAAGCTGAAACGAAGTATAGGATCCGGTGGATCCAACCAAGCAGCTTCAAAGGTGGATTCTCACGGCTCTCGCTGCCTTTGCGCCCTTCCTACGACCAAGTAAACCAATCACAAAAAGAAAAAAAAAAACACAAAAAACTTAGAGGGCTTTTATGCTTCGCTTTTAAGAGTTGAACGCGATAGCGTTATCGGGCCCAGTACGCATCGCCTTATCATTCGCTTGTCCGACTCCTGACAGTTCGCGGGATGTGCGGCGGACCTGGCCTAGTCATTGGTGGCGTGTCTGGCTGGCAACCGATGGGTCGCGGGTTCAAATCCCGTCTAAAATTATTTGAGGCAAATGAATTACTGTATAAAGTCAAATCGTTCAAGACATGTGGCGACCTTTAATTCGCATTACACGTCATGTTTTCGAATCACTTTCATTACACGCGTGACGTCCAGCCTCATGCGAGCGTTGTGGGTTGTTTGTAATTCTCGCCCGACATCACGGGGCTGTGACGTCATGACCCGATCGACCAATCGGGATTTTCCCGTCACAACATGCTGTGACGGGAAAATCCGGATTGGTCGATCGGGTCATGACGTCATGACGCCGGCTTTTCTACGACACGAGCTCCTTAACTGTGTCGAGGTAAAAGTGAACGATTAGAACGCATTCACTGTTCAATGGTTTAGACGCTGATAGCACAAACGTGCAAAAGCTATGAGCATTGTAATGATGCATTTTTAGAGTAACACTTGATAGGCTCCTTCAGAAAGTAGCATCGGCTGCGAACGGAAGTAGAACGGGGTGTGTGAGGTGAGCAAGTTCTTCTGCTTCTTCTGCAGGGGGTCGTGGCGGCTTCAGAACGCAGAGCTCTGATTGGTTCTGATTGAAGTGTAGGGGGTAGACATCGAAGCAGCTCGCTTAGATGTCTACCCACTATTCTCCCAGCCAGAGTCAATAAGAGCTCGGAGTTCGGAAGCAGAAGACCTTGCGCTCCCCATAAAGATGCGCTCGGGACACGGACTGGTTAAGAGAATGATTGAGATTGGAGCAATCGGGGCACTAGGTCTTCCTTGAAATTTCAATTATTAACACATACCCCAAATACAGTAATTAAAAAAAAAAATGTTGTTAAATCTAAGTTGAATATGAAGTCGACCGATACGATCATAATCTCGACCTTCGTGTTTGTCTGGGAAGATGACCTAGGTGCAAAAACAAATATTTTGGCGAACCTCCTATAGTTTCTTGTTTAGAAGGTGTGATCTTCGACATCCTGTATAATGCACGAACGTTTCCCTATTACGTATCTAATTTTTTGCTTCGATCCGCTTGGCATAACCTTTGTTTCCAGAAAGTTAACCAAATGGTTTAATAAAAAAAAAAAAAGCTTTAGTTACGAGATGCTGGTAAAGACCAAACAACTCTCCGACAGCTTGAGTGGAACCACTGACATTTTTCTTATAGTTTCTGCTTAGTTTACTCTGTCGTATTCTTTTACCTGTCTTCAGGCAACCGTTGAGCAGGACGCTTTTAGCAAGGCCAGGACAGCGTTGCTCGAGACAGTTTCCTTCTTCTTGTGGACAGCGTCTCGGAGCGTACATTGCAATTAGACGCGAGAGCGGAACGGACTAAAGAAAAAAAAGACGACGTCTCCTTGAGGGAAGAGCACTCCAATCTAAACTTTACTCCACTCACGATGGACTGCTGAGGACGCTACGGGTCGTCCCAGCCAATCAAAATGCCACGTGTGTGTTGCGGCGGCCCGTGGGGTGCCTGGACACGTGACACCTCCAGAGAGCCGGATTCGCTGGGATGGCTGGTAGGGCGCGGTATACGGTCCACCGTAAGATAAGATAAAGAAGCCTAGCCGGAACTGACAGCCAAGCGCAGACAGCGCTAACAAAAGGTCACTGGAAGATCGCGGGAAGCTGCCAGACAGGAAGGCTAGGACGGCATGCTCGGTAGAGTCCAGGTTCTTGGCTTACTCGGTAATTTGTGGCCTTCACAGCCAGGTAGGTTGTAGGCCGGAGGGGGGGGGGGGGGGGGGGGGGGAGGGGGGGTCTGTGTTTTCGGATGAATTCGAAAAAATTAGAAAAACACCCGCAGGTAAACTTTAGGCCACAGCAAATTTATCCGAAATACTCCAAATTTCAAAGTCGCAACGACACACACACAAAAAAAAAAAAAAAAAAAAAAGAAAAGAAGAGACGGTGTTTTGCAGGTAAATTTTATAAAAACAGAGTCAGTGGTTTCAAGTAGATGCCACTTCAGTTTCCTTCGAAATCTTGAACTACTTCCAAAAGGGGTTTGCCTTTTAGTTCGTGAAGGTTCTTTTAGGAAAAACGGGTCACAGTACCCACACTTCATTTTTTTTTTATTTTATTTTAAATTGGGAGCGCCGTAAAATAAACTCCGATAAACCCCGTATGTTTGCGAAAAAATAAACTCCGAGAAACACCATCCGAATATCACGGATAATCAACTCCGGAAACATTGAATCCTAGTTGTAATAGGGACATTCTCCGCGCGTGCAACCATATTAATGTTTTCTTGCCCATGGTAGTATTCCCGTCACTTGTCCTGATCAAGCTTCCAGACCTCAGGTGGTTCACAAGTTCGAAATACCCAAAAGTGACAGAAAACAAGAGATCCCACAACAGTCCCTGAACACCGAAGGTTCATTTGTTCTAAATCAGTGTTTTTAACTCGGTTGTTTCGGGACTCATTAATCATAGATAATACCGCGTCGCACTCAAAGCGTAAGACGACGTCAGCTGTTACTTTGGCGATGTCGGCGTTTAATTGTTCCGCACTTCTGACGCTATAGCTTTTTTGTCTTTGAAGTAGCCAAAAATGACAATTATTAAGTAATAGCTTCGCCCTGTCCTGCCCAATAGACGATTTTTTCTATTGTGGACGACACTCTAAGTACAAGCTTTTTGTTAAAACCACCGAATATTACATAAAATTATATGCATGATTATGAAGAAAATAGATAAAAAAAACACGTTCAAGATATTTGTTGTTGTGTTATTTGTGAAAGGAATGTTAACTTTAAAGTAAAAGACTTCTTTAATAATCACTAGATTATAACTAATTAATTACAATGAAATTCGGTACCTTCGTTGACAACTTATTGAATATTTTTAAGCACTTTTGTTTTAGTTCTAGCTAATATTCAGTCATCGTCCAGTTTTCCCTCAGTTTTACTCTGTTCTAAGAATATCCATACCTAAGAGCATGTTTCCAGGCTGCAATAATGATAACAGTGTTGTCAATAAACTGATCTCACCAGACAGTTTGAGTCCGCATCGAGGGAACCTGAGTCTTTCTGAACTCGCGAAAACCCCGCTGGAGCACTGCGCGTGTAAGCACGGGGCGGCACGAGCCCTCTCGTGCGCTGCCGTCTACATCGAGTGAGCTAAAGTTATGGCGGCGCTTACGCATGCACCGAACTCTTTGTGAAATCGGTCTATTCTTTCCTAGGTCTCCTGCGAATCTACCAGCCGCATAAAAACCTAACATTTAACCATAACCCCCAAAAAAATGCCGCACTATTTTTTTGCTATTATCTTCATCACAGAGTTCACAATAAATTAGCTAAGGACCCGGAACCATGTATGCAGACAATGACATCAACCTGATAGGTTGCTTTTAGCGGTGTGAAAATACCGTTTCCAATGAAATGCCGCACTATTTTTTGCTATTATCTTCATCACAGAGTTCACAATAAATTAGCTAAGGACCCGGAACCATGTATGCAGACAATGACATCAACCTGATAGGTTGCTCTTAGCGGTGTGCAAATACCGTTTCAAATGAAATAGCGCAGTGTCATCCCTTTTTAACGCTTTGAAGAAAACTGGTTGTCGTGGCTTTCCCTTCCGCTGCGAAGGTTATAAATGACGCAGTGCTATTCGATTCGAAACTGTATTCGCACACTCCGTGTCGTTTTAAGCCCTAATCTCCCGTGGTAAAGCAAACACACACACACACATATAAAAATAAGCACTGTATTCTACTTTGCCGGAAAGCAATTGGGAGAACCCGTTAGTACAATCTATGGAGGAGGCTCGGCAGTTGACGAAGCTGAAAATATGTTTTGACCCAGCAATGCCGTCTGCGCTGGGACACTGGGCGTGTCGTAAAGAGTTGAAAAGACGTGCTCAATGTCAGAGCTCAGACTAGTGTTTTTTTTAGGTCTAAACAAATTTTCAGTGTCGTCATTCCTCCAGATTCTTCCGTAGATAGCAGAGATCAACACTCCAAACTGCTGGACCTTCAAGCAGACCCACCATATTCCTTAAAATAAACTATGATATTAAAAATTATACTGCAGAAACCGCTATTGTTGGTTGTCTATGAATTGTGATAGCAATCGTCATGAGACTCATGACGAAGCTACTGTGAATACGACGACGCAAATTTTGAGTAAACACTCCATTTTATGAATGGCTTACGATGCGGTCATTAACGTCAGCGCAGCTGCAGCGCGCCACTTCGAAATTGAGTGATTGCTTTTTCTCGGCGTAATCATTTAATATTTAAGCTGTTTCCTCACCATCAGTGCAGCTTCTTGTGTGTTTTCTCCCGTGTCTCCGTAATCGCCTAACGCTCAAGCTGTTTCACCTCCATCATTGACCATGTGCCGACTAGCTCAACTCAAACCGATAATTGCTTCGCAGCTTGGGCGCAAATGTGAGAGTGTGCGTACTTCCGCTTCGTGTATGCGCGGCGGGGGTTTATGTGCTTGCGCCGGAGCCATGAGTGATTGCTTCGTAGCTTGGGCTCAAATGTGAGTGTGTGCGTACTGCCGCTTCGTGTATGCGCGGCGCGGGTTTATCTGATTGCTAGGCCAACTTCGATTGCGACTTCTAGGGCGATTTCAAGAATGACCTCTAGGAAGAGCTTAAGAACGATGTCCAGGTCGATGTCAAGGAGGACGTTAAAGGCAAACGTTTAGGACGACTTCTGGGACGACGTCGTGGACGACGCTCCCATACGCGCGGTGGATGCTATTGCGGACGTCCTGCGTATTGTTCTGAAGTTATGCGGCGATTCCCTTTGAATCGGGCGTCTACTGAATAGACTAGGCGAAACATAAAAAAGAAGAAGACAAAATGTCAGAAAGCAGAGTGTAACCACTCGTTGTGTTTCAACAATGTACTGCCCACGAAGCCTCGAGTTTCCGCATCGAGCACTGCACATATGTGTCCTCTTCGGTAAACCCGAGGGCTTGGTCGATTCGAGTTCGAGTGCCGAGGTTTTCCGCGGTGCAAGTGCCGGACGCTCAAAAACCAAGTGGTGCATAGTTTCGTCCACTTCCACACGTACGGCACAGTGTGTCGGTCATGTTGGTGTCATACTTTCGTCGACTGAGTCAATTGCGTTTGAGAAGACGCCGCGCCACAGCGCGGCATCTCCTCATACGCGCGCGGCACATAAGCACGGCACATTGGAGGTCAGATAGCCTATCGCGAAAACTGAGTGAAGTAGCCAAAGAATGCGATAAAAAAGGCGACCATATGTAGTCGGGTAGCCCAGATTAAAAGCAAATTATACTAACAATATGATGTAGAGATGAACCAGTTTTTAGAGGTCTCAATTCACTGGCTCAGAGTATGACAAGACAACTGATAAAAACTTTATCTTTTACAGACGTGGAATGCAGCTTTCCCCTTCCCATCGGAAATGGCCACTGGCTCCTGTCTACTAATTCGACGCACTACGGCGCTACGGTGGAGTATGAGTGTGACCGAAACTACCAGTTGGATGGTGCACCTCGAAGACTGTGCCTCGAGAACGGAACCTGGAGCGGTCCTGAACCGCTTTGCCTTGGTAAGAGATTAAATTGAATACATTGCTATAGAAGCTATATTCCATTCCGCTCGTGTGAATTAGGTAGTGCTCCTATGGGATAAACTAGTCTACCAGCGGTATGGACAGGTCGTGTTCGGGAGAACGCATGCCCATCGCGATGTTGACGCTGTCGCGCGCTCGAGCAGCACCGAGGGTGCGCCGGTACTGGGATCGTCTAAACAACAAATATGCCTGCCTCGGCTAGCGCTTGAGATAACCATGACGAAATACAGCAGTATCCATCCCTCACAATTCAAAAGTGAAACCCCCGGGGCAATGACGCACCCAGCCGCTCTAACCACACAAAACGTGTCCGCGCCAAGGCCGCTGGATTTGTGCGGAGTGAAATGTATTCCTCTAGTAGAGTATATAATGAAACCATAGGTGAGGGGCAACATCACTTTGATGAGCCATGTGTTTTGGGGCATATGTTATTTTCTTTGCTCACTTTTGCTTCATGATTGACTCAATGTTAAGTTTATTGTTAGACACTGGAAATAGATAAACAGGAAATTTTGTTTAGCTTCTACCATAGCGTTTAGATTAATCGTGTTTATGAATTGTAAAAAGGTGAAGAGAGAAAAGATTGGCTGATTCTGGCAGGAGGTAGCACCTACATTGAGATCGACAAAGTAACTACTGCGAAAAATCTCCACGGTGGTAACAAGGGACAAAAAGTCGGACTGTATATTTAGTCTTCTTTCCAAATTGAGGCATACTTATACTATAATATAGGAGAGATGCAGGAAAAATAAATCAAAATTTCTGGGGCATTGAGTGGGAGAAAAAATACACAAAGTCTCACACGTTTATGTCATGGCTTCGTTTAGCTTCATCATGTATCATTTGGATTCGTTGAAGTACTGTCGCAGGTTCACGGAGCTCCTCAGTTGAACGCTGGGTATCAATCAAGTACCATAGGTGCCAGGCTACTGCTCTTTAGTTAAAAGCTACCTTATTTCCTTCGCGTCGCACCGACTTACTTAAGTGCCCCGTGGCTGGTGAATTGGGAGCCTTGATACTAACTTGGTTGCTACCATAGCTCTGCCTTGTCAATTTACTACGTCTTAAGTCCATTTGGTAAGAATCGGGGCTAGTAGCAACCCTTATTATAAGTTATGACCTCTGTTCAATAAAAGGTGCTCACTAGTATACAGCAACAAAGCAAAAGTTTGATCATACGTGATTACGCCCCCGACAATATTTGCACGTTGTCATTCAACTGCAAGATGTAAACAACCACGGCCACTGACAATAGGAAAACGTCAAGGAAGTATTTCTTTTGTCCCGCCTCCAGCACGGGCTTCAGAGCTTGGACAACACTTCAGCGTCTAATTGGCTTAGAGTGCAGCAGCCAGTGAACTACGGAAAGGCAACGAGCACTTGTTGAATCCGACCATTCAAAAGAGACGTCCTGGGCGCTCTCCTTTCAATACCTATCGATACAAGAAAGAATCTCATGATTAACAAGAAAAAAAAAAGTGTTTTGATGAACAGTATAGTAAATGTATAAAATCCGCACTAAAATGTATCGCGTTTTTTGATCCACGCAGAAGTCAGATGTGCCGAGCCCAAGGCGAGCGACAGCTGGACAGTGATTAAGTTCTCCGACGACTCCGTGGGTTCCTCGGTCGAGTATTCCTGCGAGCAGGGCTACGAGCTTCAGGGACTTACCACCCGCATCTGCCAAGCCAACGGACTCTGGAGTGGCGACGCGTCGACATGCGCACGTAAGTCTCATGGGGGCTCAGAAATCTCAATTTTGCCGGATTCTTTTTACCACAAAGGACAAGAGTATATATTGAAGTTGTCGACAAACAGCGAGTGCTGTGCTTTACCCTCCTTAGAAGCTTCCCTCGCAGTAATTACGGGCGCAAGCTACCAGACCTTCTTGCATTGCAATGGCTGATGAATATGAAAGAACACATATAAATGCTCCTGCTCAGTAGCCAATTGGTGGCTAGATATACTATAGTCGTGCACAAACGAAGACAAAGGTTAGGACAGGCGCACGGCCAAAGAACGGCCAGAGAGCGTCCTAGCTTGCGGATCGGCGACCAGTCGGATTAAAATTCAACGTTCCATTCCATCTTATGCTATCGTTCTGGATTGGAGATCTGATAACAACGTAGCGTATCTTGATGGAGTCTCCGTGCACCTCTGCCTAGCTCTCCACGTCGTTTAAATACGTTTTTTTTTTCTCGATGTAATTGACTGCTACCCCGAACCTCTACAGAAATATGTTACGTTCAGGTTGTTCGCAGTTTTCTTGTATTTTAACAAGAAGGAGCATTATTTAAAATTTCCCCAGAGTATGTGCTTTTAATTCTCTCGCATCTCATTGTACGCATTCGTGTTTTATATGCATGTAAAAATAACTCGCTGGTGTGTCTTTCTTGCCAGTGGTCGACTGCGGCAGACCATCAGTGATCGGCAACGGTCGAGGTCAGCTTCTCAACGGGTCAACCACTTTCGGGAGCCTGGTAGAATACCAATGCTTGCACGAATTCAAGCTGGTTGGGGAAGCTCTGAGGACCTGTGGAGCCGACGGACAATGGAGCGGTCAGGAACCACGATGCACAGGTATAAAATGTTTAAGAAAAAAAAAAAAAAAAGAAGCAAACGCAGGATAGCCGAGTTTCACTAGGGGAACTTTTAACGAAGTCTCCTCCTAAAAATGAGAAAATAAATGTTTCTTATAAATTATGACACGTTCATAACACCACTTGACAAGAAACAAATTTGTGTCTAAAGAGGCAGTAAAGAAAAAAAAGCAGGAACCCAGTAACAAAATGCTTTAAGGCCATAAGTAGGGATGGCGCGATGTTCGCATGCAGCTAGATGAGTAAATGACGCTGGAGCCCCAACCCTAACTTTGCCTGCGTCTGCGGTCTCTACAGGTTGCATTATCACTCTCTTTGTAAAGTGGACCGAAGTATAAGACCTCGACATTTCATTGCATTCATTGTTTGAGCCACACCTATATCAAAACCTGAGAGGTAGGCGAAAGGCCCACGGACTGTTTCTGCTTTTATTTGCGTGATAGTGCGTGTAAAACTGAGAATATGTTTTGAACCCTTAGCTAAAGAAATTTGAACTGAACTTACTTTAACTCTTATGAGATGTCAAGTACGATGAATTATAGTTTGTTAAAAAAAAACATCTTTCGCCGCTAACATTACGATTTTGGGGGTCTTCACTCGTGCAATTTGCCTTTTTGCCGACATATTTCGAGTGGTTTGATGTTGGCTGCCTTTCTACCTAAAATTCAAATCATCTATAGCTGCAGAAGAATCAAAACTTATGGAATACTGAGGAGATCTATAATTTATGACCTGTGCGCGAAGTTCTCAGTCGCAGCGGAGAACGTTCTCAATTGCAACGCAAAAATCGCAGCTCACAAAATCCTCACAGTTTCAGCTCGAAACGTGTGTTAACCGGGTATGAACGCAAGTCCTGCCGTTGCAACTTGGAATGTAGGAAGTCGGCAGACACTTTTATATTTTGTTCGAATGCAAACAACTTTTAATGCCCACTATATATGCGAAATACACTCTGTTTATCCCTTTCAGACGTGCCAGTGAGAGACTCAAATGATGTTGAAGGCGCTGACAGCAACCGTAAGTAGAGTGACCTCGCTAATCTTAACCAGAAACCCTCAAGGTTTTGTTTAGTCGTGTGTATTGTATCTCGCGTATCAGGATAAAAAAGAACTAAATTAACTGCTTGCTGTACCCGCGAAAATGCTGTTTAAGATTTCTATAAATAGAGAACACCTGTTTACATAGACGTAAACCACACGGAGGAATAACCATCCTTGAAATAACAGCACTCAACCGATGACAAGTGTGTCCAGCTGTTTAGGTTAAAAATGCGATGCACAGTCGGAACTATAAGACGTTAGCAGAAAGGAGCGACTGCCGGGCCGGCAAAAGTGCGACACGCGGCGCTGCAGTCGTGCGAGCACAGAGGGGCGGGCAACATTGGCCGGCGGGCGCCATCTTTACGACACGGGGAAGATCGGAGAACAGCCGCCGCTTCCGAAGCGCGCTCTTGGGACCACCACTTGTCTGCTTAAATCTCCAGTCACACTGCTCACACATTTAACAAGATACACGAAGTTTCTTAGCAGACGTGATGACTAAGAAATATCCGCGGACACACCTTAATCATGTTCGATAGTTTTGCACAGACAGTTTTGCATGACAAATGTGACAGCGGACTGTCCTACAAGGAAGAAAAACGCCTTAGACATCGCCTGTGGGCATTCCTTTTTGTGATATAATATCAGTGTGACCACGGATTCAGTCTTTCGCGGGTCATGCATGACCGTGCACACGCGGTGTTTTCTAGCTTGCTTATTGAGAGCGGTTAAATCTTTTTTTTTTCTTACTACTCCCTGTTTAAATGTCATTGGTGATTTAAGACGCTGACTTGAAAACTATTATAGATGAAATGATATATCTAGTACAAAGAAAAAAATGAATGCCTTGCAAGCGCTAACTTCCCGCCGAACGCTCCCAAGATTGAGAGGTTAGTAATGACAAGGCCACTCTCGCTTTCGGTGGATTCGCAACAATGACGCGATTTTAGTTACACGAACTTCCACGGCGGATCAAATGCTAATATTTTTTTGTCTAATTTTGACACGTTAAACACCAGGATTATATTAATAGCTAAGAAGTTGTGTTTCCTTTTCCAGTCTCGAAACATATTTCTTGTTAAATTGTACTTATGCTATATTGAAGCGATCATATACTCCAAACCGGCCACGGTTTGGAGTATATGATCGCTTCAATAAAGCACAAGGACAATTCAATATTGCATAAGTCTGTTCGCCACCCAAGTGCGCGGGCTGATCAGCCGATTGCAATGGGCGATATGTTAAAGGTTACCTTTTTGTCGCCCATGTGAAAGGGATGTTAGACTGCGTTTAGTTTCTTCCGGCTTGTGTCGCAGTAACGTTTTCTTCGTTCAAAAACAGTAAAAAAAAAAAAACGTTAAAAAGGGCAGGCCGTTGCAAGAGCGCTCCACTGTTGCGCTTAAGTAAGGAAAAACAAAAAGCAAAAGGCGAAAGACAAAACTGTGAATGCGTCATCTGTAAAGTAAAATTAATCATGGGCAGTAATTAAAAAGCAGTACGTCTAAGTCCGCTAAGAAGCTTATATAAAGGCCGGTTCAGACACTTGCGTTTGAGTGCGTTTGACTGCGCTGCGTCGAGTACCGAAAACGAGTCACCAGCAAGTCTGTACTTCGTATGAAGCGTGGAATTCAATTCAAGGAATCATCTTGGCACGCGATATAAGCAGCAGGGATGTGCTGGTTTCTCGCTGCCGCAACGCAGTCAAACGCAGTCAAGCGCAACTGTCTGAACCAGGCTTAAGACCATGGTAGAAGAGTAGAGCTGTGTAAACGGCGCCGGCTTGGCCTGGAGCGACTGTGGCAAAAGTTTGGTCACCTTTCTTGCAAACGCCATAAAATGGCACATATCTAGGGGCATCTTAATGGACATTAGTGGTCCGATAAGAGCCAATCGTGGAACCTTCCTTATTCGCGCACACGTTTACAAGCCCGCGCGGTGGAGGTCTGCACCTTTGCGAAGTACCCTAAACCGACAGTGCCCCTGCCGGGAGATGCGCGAAGCCAGAACTAATTTTGGCGACTTTGGGTCTCTTGTTGAGACACCTCTCTCTTCCACCCTGTCTTCGAACAATGTACATTAGTAAAGTGTCACAGCCGTATAGCCTCTTGGATGATGTCCAATTAGGACGGGCCCTGATTAAGTAATACTGCAGTAGCACCTTAATTCCTCATCACGGGTGTGCTAATGCATTCTTAAATAGCAGTAAAAGGAACAGGAGCTAAAGACTAATTAAATATAACAAGAAAACGAGAAGACTTGATAGCACTGCACGTCTAAAAGTAGTAAAACTTGCCTCGTCCCGTCTGCCACAGTAATCTTGACTGAGGCGTCCCCAATCTTGCTAATCCTATTTGCGATGTAGACGCATTGGAAATGTGATTTAGGTCGCACGTTTCCAATGCGCGTTTCCAATCCCCAGAAAATCAAAACTAAGCCTCAGCGGTTGGCTGAATAATTCTGGTTTTCGTATATTTTGTTGTTGTCAAGTGCAATATAGACCTTCGCAAGCATTACATAAAGGGTACCCTCCCCCACCCCACCTTTACGTAATAACTGCGAAGGTGTTTAGGGTATTTGACAACAATAAATATGGCAGCCAACATTATTCAGTGAACTCCTGAGGGTTAATTGAAATTTAACGTAATTTTTCTATCAAAATTGATAAAATTAATGTAATACAATTCATTGCACAACTGAATGAAGCAACAAAATGAAAATCACAGAAGATACAAAAACAACATACAAACTTAAGTTGAGCAACCTCACCCCGTTCCAAAGAGAGAAAAAAGGGTGCCAAAAGGGTCACAGGGAAAAATCTGTGCTTTGCGAAACTGGTGTCGTTTACGACATACCGATGACTTGCGGTTTTAGGTATATAGGGTAAAGCTCAAGATGATTGAACGGTCGTCTAGCTGAGCACAAAGGAAACGTAAAGACAAACGCGCCTAATTCCGAAATTGCGACACATGTACAAGAGTGCAGAAACTGCACAGCCGAGTGGTCCGGTACAACGGCAGTATGCAAAGAGGTCAATGACGTCAAAAGGGTTGTAAAAGAGACAGTAAACATTAGGTCGATTGGCAACTGCAGAAGCCAGTCGTCTATGCTTCTTGGTGATAGGGCGAAAGCTTTTGTGCGAGTATGACTTGAACAGGTCTTGTCTTTTTTCGGGAGAGCCATGATTTTGTTCCGTTTGTTTGCGTACGTAAGAGAAAAAAAATAGAGAAAGAGAGAGAGAGAAAAGCAAGTGCGACAGGTCGATGGGTTCGAACTGCAGTCGGTTCCGTGTGGTTCGCTTGTTCGTTTGTTGTAAAGATAAGAATGGCTGCGAGGTCAAATCATGTTCCCTTCGGCCGATGTTTTGATGTTTTGATGTGTGTACCTTTTGTTTATTAATTCGTGTCTTTTTTTTTAAGACAAGCGTGGCGGCGGGGTTAAGGCGTGTCCCCATGGTGCCATTGTTTGGAGTGTGTTATTTCTGGTGACAATTTTGGGTTCAGAATGCATAAAAGGAGGGAGCACCAAATAAAGTGGTTAGCTGTGTTTGAGCCGTCGTCGTGTTTCTTCCGCCCAGTCTCAGGTGGTCTAGAAGAAATGGTAAACCTACACCAGCTCGCCTGCGCCATAACTGTTTTTTTTTTATTATTCGACGGAGTTGTGGCATTCATAGCAAGGATTGGCATGTGAGCACCTAGTTTTAGTTCAATTTTCTTGACAAATAAATTGAAACTGCCACTGAAGCCTTTGTAAGACCTTGCGTACTCTCCCATGGGAATTACCATCAACTCGAGCTTTGAAACTAGGCGGACGGTAACGCAGTTCACATCGATGGGCCACCGCTCGTCTCTCTAGGCGCTGGTTAGCGATGACTGTACTAGCAAACATACATGAGTATAGCTGATCTTAATACTCTACTTTCTCAAGGTGGCGGACGGGATCGTGTTTGCTAAGAGTTATTAAAATGAAGATATCATGATAAAAGGATAAGAAACTTTGTTTAAAACTTAGTGTACGTCTGTGCTTCTAATCTTCTAATGCTTCTAATTTTGTGCTTCTATTCTCGTCAGCTTTCAGACCCTGTAGAAAGTTTTGATTATTTATACCGAATTGAAATAAAGTGTCCTATTTAATGGCAGGCGCCGACTTCACCTACGACTCCTCAAGGACTGTGGGGATCGCCATCGCTGTTGGCGCAGGAGCACTGCTGGTCATCGCCATCGTCGTGGCTATCGTCTGGATGAGAACGTATGTCCGTCGAAATACTGGTTAGAGACGTAATAAATACACTAATATTTCGTTGACATTAAAGTGTACATTAAAAAAAAAAAGGTTTTCAACATCAGGACAGCTAAATTTTTCCTTGTCAGATCCTAATGTAAATTAGGGAAAAGGCAGAATGTGTGAATGTGTAACATTGGTTTGTTCTTCCAGCTCTTACGATCATTCGTGTACAGACAAGGGGCATTCTAAAGCTATGAACTTGTGCTTGTAGTATTCACTGCTGTTCACGTCGGCTGCTGACAGAGTTCTGGGCGGCATTCAGGAGCGTTAAAAGATTATTCCAATTGGTAGAATTGTTTGTTCACCGCGTGTATGTTAGGCTTCCCGGTCGCCTGAAGGTAATAAAATGGAGCGCTAGAACATACAGTGCCTTTGACATCTATCTAACCATCATTGTAGGCTAGGAATTAACCAAATAACGTCAGTTTATAGGAAGTAAATTGTCGAGCTTAACATTAGATAATGAAGTACATGCAACAGGTCACTCGCACCTCTAATCCTGTGTTTAGAAAACCAAACAAAACATTACTTATTTTTTCATTGCCTTTTAAATTTTGTATACGTGCGTTAGCTATACGGGATAATTTCGCTACATAGTAAACTAGTAAAGCGTACGTAGCTAGACAATATTGGGCGAAATAAAAGGAAACAATATGGCTTTACCAGACGCCCATGAACTTACATTAGAAATTTCTAATGCGCGCGGTCCTTCAGAGAACATGCTCCGAAAGTTGTGCATGCCAGCTTATACTTTGTTTCACCTTAAGTTCAGACGCAGCCGATGAAACGAGCTGATAAGACCGATCAGACAGCATCAAAAGCGCACCATCATGGTGTTCCTCATGTTTTTGTACGCGTTCTATCATCGCTGAACCATCATAAACGCAAAAATAGCGGCGACTTTTGATTTTGACGCTGCCCAATTGCTCCCATTAACTCGTAGAGTCAAGTACATCTATGGATTGCATCGCACGCGGCGGCGAACATAAATAAGCAGACAGTCAAGCATCAATTTGCAAATGTATCTCCCAACAGGAAAGCCCAGCGGGTCAAGAACACGGAGAACGTCGAAGTAAACCGCAACGTCGAGAAGGACAACGCTACCGTCATGTCTTTCTCGCGCCTCGCCCTCGAAGCCGCAGAAGCCAACAGCGCTCCCTATCACAACGGACCCGGCATCCGACACAACCCAAACGGCCTCGTCACGTTCGCTGCAGGACCACAGCCCATCTATGCCAACGTCACCGTCAACGGACAGAGCCTGTCCACGTCAAACTCATCGGGAAGAGGCAACCTTGGCGTACCACCTTCTCCTCCGCACGCTCCACCGAGACACAACGGCAATCCTGCCGGAAACCATCACCACGGCAATAGCCACAACAGTAGCCACAACGGTAGCCGCAATGGTAGCCACAACAGCGGCCACAACAGGGGAAGCCATGGTGGCAACGGCTCGCTAACCGCCAACGGTCACATGACGTCTACGCTACAGAGTCACGATGTGTGATATGACGGCACTACTTCCTGTGACTACATCTTCGGTGTTTGGTGAGACACTTCGGATGAAGAAAAAGAGGCCCTAAGTTATGGACATGGAGGTCTACTCTTCTGCCGAGTTATCATCCTCTTGGTTCTGGACTTGATCCCGGCGAGTGCGGATTTGAGAAAATGACTCGCCCAGTGTGTGTACCACCGCGGCACATCGGAGTTTGAAGTTGTCGTAAAAGCCCACGTACAATTTCGGACAAAGAGAACGTCTGGTGAGATTTTTGAAAGCGGACAGTTGTCACTGAACAATCAAAGAGAACGTACCAGAAAGGCTTGTGATGCTATATACAAAGAAGTAGGTGGTGCTGACATCAACGTATCACGTTGACGATCGGCGAAATTTTGTATATCGGGTTTCAGGCACAGGTGGGTAAAACTAAGCGGAGGTACCTGCGCAGATAATGAAATCACTCTTGAGGCTGTTCTCCGGAGTTTAGGTTCTGCTGTGGGTGTGGGTTCAAGGGCTATGATAAGCTCCAGATGGAGTTTGTTCAATGAGCCTTTCCGGTGTCCTATATGATATTGCACAATCAGAGGGAATACCGAACCCAGTTCTCTTAAATAAAAAAAAAAATAAAGATGAGGCGAGCGCAATAAATTGTGCTAAGCCTTATTTATAATATTAACTGCTCTCAGTAGCTGTCAGCACATAGTGTCAGTTGCCATCGGCGAATATATTTGGTAAACACGAGAACAAAAGTCGAGCCCAGGTATATATTTAATCGAAGGCACCCTATTTTGCCTTTGCACAATGTAGATGCACTTTAATGAAGATTTTTAACGTTCTACTGCAACATTATTCGTTTTGCCCGTCGACTAACGAGAGTGTGGTGCCTTTGAAAGGTCGATTGTCTCTAAAGGAGGCTAAATAGGACCTATAATTTATCGTTTCAATATTTTTATCACGACTGATGTAGGTCTGATCTGATTTTCAGTGGTCTTTATCCTGTCGCTATTACACTAAAATTTCAAGGTAGTAATTAGCGGTTGAGGGCCGGTGAACTGAAGCTTCTAGTGTGTGACTTGTGAAAAAAATATTAGGTTAGGCTATGAAATCCTTTGAGTGACGCGTATTCATTTATAGCATGAGAATGTCAAGAAAGAAAACCTGAAGGCTTGAAAACGTTCACTCTTGTATTTTTCGGAAGATACCAGTGTGACGTCTAGATTCGAAACAGGAGTATTCATAGGTTTTGGCTTTTGGCAACGCACAAAAGGTTCACAGGCTCTTTGCCGTAGGTATTGGAAGAGGATGATTAAGGTATCTTTAATTGCGTACACATTCTTTGTTATTAATTAGCGTTGTGGGGTTGAGATCTTTATCACGGACGTTTTGCGGGTAAAGCCATCTAGTGATAGTGAGTGAAAGTCTAACTGCCACAAACTATAAGTCTTGATTGGTGGAACTCTAATGCACCACCATTTATATGTTTCCCTTTAAATAGTCTATCACTGATAATTAGAGAATGTTTTTATTGCCCGCAATTATCTCTACAACGCGTACTACAAGTACAAACTACTACCGACTTACTGCATCTATTTGATCGTAATCCATAGTCTAGTAAGTCCGAAAAAAAGAAGAAATATACTAGCAATGTAAGAGGTTGCCATTCCCAGCTGCTTTTGAGTTGAAGTTGGGTGATAACTTGATGAGTGATGGGTTAACATTTTCGTTTTTCAGCTGTATTAAATGTCTATAGAGTATATTTGAGAATATGTGCACATGTGCGAGAGAATCTGTGTATATTTGTGTGCGTGGGTGTTTGAGTGAAAGAGATGTTGGTCACAAATAACCAACACACTTTGTCTACTTAAAAAAAAAGTGTTCTTCAAGGGTCGCAGGTACAATTCCAAATGAATACTTTTTCTTCCCACCAGGAACTTTAAAATAACCACTCCAGTCAAAACTGATTCTTTTTTTTTTTCAAGAATCATATCTTTTTTGACACTGGAACAGTTTACAAAATTCCGAATCGATACCTAGCGAATGAAGCATACACATAGCCCATTGAGATCAGCATCTGTAGACATCCTGCAGAAATACTTTGTGATGTCAAATGTTCCTGCAATATTTCGTAGACATGGTCGCATCTGACTGTGCATGTTGGTGTCTTCTCTCCGTAACGATAAAAATAATTAAAAAAAAAAAACGCAAAACGCATGACGTGCCCTGGGGCTACTATCGACGTTAAGTTATCTAGCCACTGCCAAAATAAAAGTGATCTTAAAAATTCTCAACTTCCATGGGATAAAAATTTTCAAGTTTTGATTCGGAGTTTAGAGGAGAGAATAAAAATAACTTAATTTTTTCTTTTTTTTCGAAACCAATCGACGCATTTCTGTTTCGGCTCGAGGGCTTTTTAAAACAATAATGTGAATTTTTCGTTGCAAGTATTGCGTTTCTGGAAGTAGTGAATCTAGACATGCGAGGCATTCAAAGCCTTATATGCCAGAGCGATAAACAACAGGCTAGTGTCCTGCCAATCTTGCTTAACTAGTACAGAAGAATACATCTTGTTGTTATTCAACAAGAAAACTGACCGTAGTGATGAAGACGCGTTTTCTGGTTGCACTTTTGAATTTGTAATTCAAAAGCTTAATAGCAGCACCTTGCTTACCGTGTACAGAAAATCGCTGTTGGCTTCTGTACAGGTTGTCTTAAGTTATACTATATATTACACGGCATGTTGCCGAAGGTATCTGGTGACATAAAAGGCACACCAAAAAGACACACTTTTTAGATTTTTATTCTAATTTTATTATTTTGGGGGTACACTGCCTATGCAACACGACGTCTACGTTAGTGCGTTGCAGTGTTTATTCAAATAAATATTATGAAGAAAAAGGCGTCTGGAACTGATCAATATTCGCCAAATGATTGTCGCAGCTACAGTAATTGAGGAAATGCAACTGTTGTTGCGTCAATACGTTATTTTCAGTCAACAAGAAAAAATAGGTAAGTGGAATCAATTTATTTACCCAGCAGGATAATGTCTATAGACGCTTTACACACGCGCCAGATTGAGCCGCCATAGCCGCCCTTCTCTTGTCTTACCGAGATGCCGAGCCACTGAAGTGGGCGTTGACGGGTCTTCACAAGGGCCTATGTTGGGCACAAGAACACAGTAGCATCTAAAATGGCAATAACCTGTCCTGCTGCGGTAATGATGAAGTGAAGCGAACGGAATAAGAGGGAACAAAAACTGAAGGTCAGTTATGGCGGCGCCCATGCACAACTGCTGTAAAGCGTCTATATCGCGGAAACGATTAAGAACACCTCACATATTTTGGTATAATATCATGAGCAAACAAATAGCCTGATGTTGATGTTACCAATTATCCTAGATACTTATAAGGAAGGGCAAGTTAAACGTTCGTTAGCTATATTTCTTAAACATAATCAAATACAACAACTTAACTACTGCAAAGATAATTAAGTGTGTTTCATAGTTCGTTATTCAAGAATATAATGGTTTTGCTTTCATCGTACTTCCCCCAAAGTCCCCATAGACGTGCCGGGATTAATAAGATCTATCTTTCCAAGTGTAAACAAATATGATGACAATTAAGGAGTGGTAGTAATATTATATGCACGATTCATGTGTATCACAAGCCTCGTAGCCCGAACAATAGCCGGGCAAACTGGATGGAATCGGTTTCATTAACTTTATGAACCTGGCGAAGAAAGCAAACTAAATTAACTTATCACTGTTTTGTATCGGACATCTACACGTTATGAAGAAAAAAAAAAATCCCGCTAAAGACCGTTGGCCGTAACTCACTCAAAAAGTTACCAAGTACGTTACTCGTTACTGAGATTAAAAAAAAAAAAAAAAACGCGTTACTTCAGCTCAAACGTAAATATTCACTTTTTTGTTACTTTAATTATGTCGCCTTTTTGTAGCAATAGCCGCCTTCCACTATAAGTGTCTAGTTAATATTATCTACCTTTTGAACAGATCCCTGGGCACCTATTCATTTTCTTCTTGGAATTATTCTGTCGTAAGAGTCACATGCGCGAGCTAAGGTAGAACACGAATAGGGTAACCTCAGCCGTACACGCTGCTCTCAAGAAGTAACCAGATACAGTCATTCGCGACTCCATAAAAAAGTAACAAAATACGTTGTTCGTCCCTTCTCTCGAAAAATAACTAAGTACCTACTTCGTAACCAAAAAAAAAAGTAATTAGATAAGAATAACGCGTTACTGGTAATGCGTTACGTACAAGTATGTTTCTTATTCTGCTGAAACGGTAAATTAGTCTATAAAATAGATTGCAAATGTTCAACAAAAAAAAAAAAAGTCGCTCTAGAGGTTGTTGGGCTATTCCGACTTCGGGTTGGCCTATATGCTTTAACGCGAAGGACAAATCAGCAGCGGTAGCTTTTTTTATTGGCGACTTTAGAGGCCTAAGGTAATAATGAGGAAAAAACAAATGTGCAGTTTCGCGCTTCAAGAAGACGGCAAACATAGCGGTTTATCCTTCCCTCTTTTATCGCATTTTCCTGGCGTCGTTTTTTTTATTATCAAGTATAATTTTCCTGACGGTGACCTAGTTAATTCATTAAGGGGTACCTGCACACATTCTGAAAGCAATAGAAATGGTTGTCAAAGACAGCCAGAAGCTAGGATCTTTTATCTGAATTTACGGTCAGTGCGCAGGCGAACTGGTAGAAGTTTACCACTATGATTTTAGCTCGAGACTTGCGGCAGAAGGAGAAACAATTACTCAGCGAGCGACGGAAGCTAATAAGAAGCAGACTGTATAAACATAAACGAAAAAATTCAATATTAAGAGCTTACTCTATACTGTGAAATTTCAGAGTCTAATGATACAAAAGCAACACTAAAATCGAAGTAAAAAAAATATACTAACGCTGTACGCCGAAAGCAAGGTTTGTAGGAACTGGAGCGTTTGCAAGACGACAGAAATTTTCCGCTTCTTTCCCATCCCTAAAGAGCATACGCCAAAGTAAACATAGGAGTGTCTGTGCTCTTTAAAATATTTAAAAAAACAACCCCCTACTAAAAAGGCGGTAAAAGCTAGCACCGCCCCAGCAAAGCGTCTAAAGTGTCTTTGATATAACTTCGCTGTCTTCTGCGATCAGAGAAGAAAAAAAATAATCGAGACATTCAATTTATTTTAGGTCTCAAGCCCAGCCATCGTTAAAACCAAGCTGCTGCTACAAAGTCTCCCCTGTATCAGGATGATAAAGGGGCAGTCGATAGCA